ACAACCACAAGTCCAACACCACAAGATCATATACACTCACAAACAGTTAGTGTAATTTTTACATTTGTAATAGCATAAGTTACAAAATGGCCGCTAAATCACGCGTTTATTATGTTTTTCGTTAAACACTTGCGGATGCGCAACTTTCGCTAATAAAATCTAATAAAAGTCAATAAGCCACGAAGATACGCAGTCCAATAAACGTGGCTTAGGTTACCTTAACCTCCAACAACACTCCAACATAACCTGTCATAACTTAACGAAAGTTAATTCGTAAAAATTTGCAGTGAAAAGTGAGGCGGAATAAAAATCGCTGAGAAGTGACGTGAATAGAAGGAAATTGCACGCGGATGGTTGTTGTTGTTGTTGTATTTGTTGTATTTGTTGTAGTGTGTATGCGCGCGCGCGTTTCTCGCCTGCGTGGGGTCCGCCATCTTATCTGCGCGCCGCGATCTAATCATTAACACAGAATGTTCGAGCGCGCGGCCACGAAACGGCGACATTAGCAACATTAGCCGGCTGTAAAATCCACCACAGGCGCACATCTAATAAGCGGCGGACGCGCTTCTTATTAGATATGAATTGGTATTTTGTTTCGGATTTCATTCGAAAACGAAGCAAAAATTTATTAGCGTTTATCGTAATTTATTATGTTTATTATATTCATTCGTTTTTATTGCGGTGGATTTTTATCTGCTAATTACGAAACATAAACAAAGTATCGGGTTACACTTTGGGGTTATAAGTACCACACCAGCGCCATCTATAATAGAGTTATGTAAGTTTTAACCTAATTTTTGTGATTTTTTTACTTTAATCTTAATTATCTCATTGGGTTTTCAATATTTTCGAAAAATTTTAAAATAAAAAGATGCGCAGTTAATTGCTCTTTAAAATGATATATTTTCCATTACAATACGTTTAATACTTTCGAGATATTGCAATTTTATTAAAAAATTGCACTGCATAAGTCAAAGAAATGCATTTTTAAAATTAAAATATCTAAGATACATTAGTCTCATCTCATCTCATGTGTGTATAAGTTGAGTTTGCGGGTCTATGACCCTGAGAACCGAAGCACCTGACACCCACAACACGGTGAAGTACCGTGCCGAGCGAACTCTCTACTAATTTTATACAGGAACTTAAAAACCGAAAAAATTTTTCTTTTTTTCGAAAAAAAAAAACAAACTCCGATCCAGATCATGATCATTAATAATCTTTACGTAACACTATTCTTCGCATTGTGTCGTAAAGTCAAGTAACTTGAAAAGCACCAAAAGCTCTTTACTCGTCCAACTTGTTTGTTGTTTGCGTTTAGGATGCATGATTCTTTTCTTTTTCGGTTACTGCGCCTGCTTCTCTAATACTTCCGGTAACAATAGCTTCACTATTAGGTGTACCATCAGCTTGTGCTGTACGAAGGTAAGAAGACCAGAAGCTCACAATACAATGCTCAATGCGATCGGTAGATCAATGCGATGAGCTTTTAGAAAAACACTTCCACTCTTCTGCGCTTTGAAAGCACAATATGAATAAAAAGTTTAACGATTTGAAGCGCTCACACGATTGATAATAATTAATCATTCGGATGCATATCATCCGATTTAACAAGGTGACATTTGAGAAAAAGTCGTTATACGCCGATAAGAATGTTACAATTAACATTCTCGTGTGTATATGAATGTATAATTTATAATTTAGCACATTTTCTTTTTTGATTTTAAATTTTATTTTGTCTTGGTCAGTGTGAAATATTATAATCGGCCTACGCGCAGACTTGACTTAAAACTTAAGCCGCGCGAGCATGCGCGCCTCGTTCATTATGCGTGTTGTAATTTAGAATCGTGACTTACGACGCAGACGTTATGTTATTATTAACCACGGCCAATTAATACGGAAAATTGTAACGTTCCAGCCATGTGAAACGCTGAGAATCCGTCGTAAATAATTATTTTACAACTGAAAATTGAATTCATTAAATAAACACGGATTATTAAAATTTGTGAAAGTTGTGTGATGTGATTTATGTAGAAATGGTGATTTTACAACTGAATTAATCCAATTTTACACTCAAAATCAACGTTTCCCATCAGATGTCAATACCACCCATGGAATTCACGTCAAAATTACGTTAAATTAATGAATTTTCTTCCTGTGTGACGGTTTAAAGCGAATATCATTGCATTGCGTCTTGGGTTTAATCCGGACACGATTCGGATAATTAATCATCGCGCCCTTTGCCACTTGGGGATGCAAAGAGGAAAACGTTTCGCATCCATTGCATCCACAGATCTCATGCGGTTTGCGTCTTTAGTTTGCGACACCGTGACAAATAGCGTGTTTCGAATGTGTCATCCGTGCATTCAAACACAATCAACCCTCTAACCCCCAGTAGAATCCGTATTTTTTATGGTTAAATGATTGTGTATGTGTGGCAGTGGAGATCAAAGCAAACAAAGTCACCTAGAGGGGTGAAAAGTCGAAAATAAGGTCATCTACTTATTCTATAAATAAATACGCCGAAAAAATGCTGAAGAAGACTATTAGTCATAGATTTAAGGGATGAAACACATCTCAAAGGGTATGTGTATCAAAATCAATGTTAGCATACTTTCAAGTGTGTTATTCCAAGGTAAATTCAAGGGTGAATCCAAGGGTTGCGAAATACCCTTTTAAAATAATCAGATAAACAGATAGTGAAAGAGTTTTGGTAAGAATAGACTCTGAGTCAATCGTTAAAGTCAATAAAATAAATGACATCGTGTCACGTCTCTGAATGGGACGAAAAATGCGATACACTTAAGAGTCTGCGCGTCACGTCATTAAAACGTGTAATAAATGATGGCGAATGATAAACGGAAACGGTAAAACACCGACGGATGTCTTTCAGATTAAAAAAAAAATCGTTAAATGTGATTTTTCATTGCATTACTCTCAATTCCATTTAAATCTAACCTTAAAAATGTTTCTAAATGTTTTAAATACTTGTTATTTATAATCGTATTCATCTGTTTTGATCGAAGATTGAATGATCAATTAAATCTTCTTCGAAACTCGCGGATATAATAAATATAAACGCTCGCGCGTTTGCGCGTTGATGAAGATATTTAAACATCGAGCGTAATTACAGGCCCATTGAACGCGGTTAATAATCCCGCTCGCGAAGCAAGCGAAATAAATGCGCAACGATTTCGCTCGAAATTAAGCCGATTTGTTACATGAGGAATTGCGCCAGCCAAACATGGCCGCGGCGCGCAAATTATCCGCTTGTGTGTACGCTAGATGTCTCTACTTGCGAAAGTAAAGTACGAGCGCAAGCGGTGAATTTAATCGCCGATAAATCGCGGCGATAAATTCGTATTTATACAATTTGTAGAGATTAAATAGATCTTGGCGTGGACGGTCGTTTGTCAGGCTCTCTCGCTCTCTCTGTGTGTTTGCAAAGGGACTCTTGAATTATGTTGTCAATTAGCGTCTAATTAGTCAACACGCGACGAAAACAAACGCGCAAACGGCCGGAGACATGAAATATCACTCTCGGCGCTTTGTAAACCGCAGCGTGCGCCGTGAAACGAATAAAAAACGAAGGAAATGATACGACATCAACGAGATAAAACAAATAAAAAGATCGAGAAGTGGAGATTGCGATAAACGCAAACGCAACGCAGACGTTAAAATAAAGTCGAAATAAAGCACGTCGCAATAAAACATATTTCTGTTTGGTTAAATTACGAGTTCGGCTGAATTTGTTGGTGTTTTATTTTGAAAAAGCGTGCGAGCAACATCCCGCGCATGTCACACATCCGTCCGCAAGACGAAAATTTCGTGAACACGTTTTGCTCAAGTCTCGATAGTGTAAGTAAAGTTTTTTAGAGATATTTTGACATTTAACGGAAAAAATACATGGTTTTTATATGCAGCGGTCTGAAAAAATAAAGAATATGATTTTGTTTAGTTTTTATTCAATAACTTTTTAAGTTATTATTTTATTACAATTTGTAAAACATTAATTGATTCACAATTAAATTCTGCATCATCCTGTGAAAGAATATTTCGGAAATTTTGTTTAAATAAAAAGTTACAGATAAATAATCTTTAAAATTGTTAAAATTTACAAACTTGAATTTATTTACTGAATAACAACTTATCAAAAATTGATAACAAAATTCTAATCGACGTATTTGAAAGAAAATTTAATGTAGAATTGAATAATGAAAGAATTTTTGTGTTATCTTTATTAGTTTATGAATTATCAACAATTAAACACCAAAAATCAAGTTTTTATGTTTTTTAGACCGTTGTTCTTCACTTGAGACAAAACATGTATCACAATTTTTTTGTAGAAAAGTTTTAATAATTTATTTTAATCTCGTGCGTGCTCGAGAACTCACGAAATATAAATCAACGTGTCAGTGCGCTTCGCATTTGTTTTCACATTAATTAAAACGCTCAGCTCTCATCCTCTCGTTGCGTTTAATTTATTTCGGTGCTCGCACGATATAGATTTAAAACTGACTTTAATATGATTGTGAAGAAAGAAAAAACACTGCTCTTTAAAATGGTCTAGTCGTGTGTTTCAATCTGGCAATGTTGTAACGTTTGTGGCACGTTCGCATTTCGAAGATTTCAAAAACGTCCGATTTTAAATGCCGGTTGTCACGCATGATTATAGTTTGTTTGGTTTTGGCTGGTGGATGCTGGGATGGTTTAGGAAGGATTTAGAGTTCATTTGTTTCATGTTAAACAAATACGTCTCATATGTTATGCTAAAGATGATTAATTATTAGGTATTTTCCGAGGAAATTGAAATTTGGAGTGATTTGGATTGTGCAATCATTATTGAACGTGTGAAAGGGTTGTATGTCAGTGGTTGAGCTGGTAGAGGGCGCTGTGAGCGGCGAGTGGGGTCAAGTGACGCGCGTTATGCACTTGTAGAGCACGCAGCGTGCGGTGCTGCATTTCCGATACTAATTGTGAATATTAATCGTGTTGAACAGAATTATCAGACAATAAGTTGAGATGTGGTGCAAGAAGATGAGTTTTTGGTCCAGAACGAGTAGAAGAAGCAGTGTAATCGCCATCGTGATGGTCTTTTTAACGTGAAACAAAACAAGTAAGTGCACGTTCTAACCATACATTTTTAGGTGAACCAGTTCACGTTATCAACAAGTCGTGTATTCGCAAGTTTCTTGCATTATACTAGAGATTTGACGCTCAATGGACATTCTATCACATTATAGCGAAGTTTTGTTACATCGAGGAACATAAAAATAACCAAATATTGGGATTTTACGTTGATTGGCATCTGTTTAATTTTTTATAAGCTGGTTATAAACTCAATTAGTCTTGTAAAAATGCCGGTAAATATTTCCAGAAGTCTAAATATGAATTCCTCGTCGCTCAGTTGTATTCACTTGTGTTATGTTTAAATGATTTTCTAGTAACGCAAGGTGCACCCCAACAAATTAGCTGAAAAATCGTGCTTAAGTTATAGAAATTTGCATTGCAATTTGTAGGGATGTTGGGATCATAATTACAACAATATTTCAAATGTTATCATCGATGTCATGTCTTTAAAAAAATATTCTAGCTCATAATTTCTAGAAATTAAAATATTTTTCGTCGTTACACAGAGAAACTGTAACGCTATAACAAGGAAATTAATATAAACCAACCAAATTGTACAAATTTTGTGGTTGTACAGTTTTTCATTAAATTGTGGCTGTAATGTTTTGAAATGGACATAAAAACAGTGAGAAAAGCATTAGATATTTGGATTTCGCTGTTGTTTGCTTAAAAAATGCAAGCGTACGCTATAAACGTGTCCCGTTTAATAAAGGCACGGATATTATAACACGAAATTGAATTGGTCGTCCACTCGGCTGGCAATTTGCACGGTGTGCAAAAACGACACCGACGAAAATTGCATGCAGCCGCCGCGAATTTCGCGCTTTTGTTGGCGAAAATGAACACAAACGAACAAAAATCATCGCCGCGCATAACGACGCCTATTATGATGCTCCAGATATGCAATTAACGCGCGAAATATTTCATTATCGCGCATTATGAACACCACCGCGCTCGCGCCCGTTCAACATCTGCTACTCCACTTCTCTTTGCCGGCGGGGCTTTTTTCCACAGCCACCACATCAGCGCGCGAATTCAATCTTCGACATTCAATCATCGCGCGGACGTCGCCGGCATTATCAGCGCCACAAAGCGGGCACAAAGACGCGCCAAACTGCCGCAAAGTGAAATTAAATTAATAATTTCTGCGCCGCATTCAGCCCGCTTCGCTTCGTTTTGATTTGATACACTTTGAGTTGAGATGCTGGAGTTAAACTCGCACGACGCGCCGCAGTTGATGTGAGATGGTTTCCCATAGAATCCGCACCACATTGAGGAGATAATTTCTCGATGCGGCAGTGAATGATGAGCGCCGCTGTGGCATCGCGGCAACAACGGGCGATAATGGCTAATTACTTTGATCATTAAACGCGAACGCAATTTGTTCGCGAAACCAAATTAATAGCGTCGGTTTGAAGGATTTAATCTGCGCGTTTGCGCTGTTATGCTGACTCTGTTAATATCATAATGGCTTAATATCATCGCGAATTATCTGTTCAAACAACTTTAATTATCAGTCTTTTAATGGCTATATTCACAAAACTACCACACGGCTTATTACATTATTTTAGAAAAATATGCCGTTCTTTAATGTAGGATCAATATTTTGACATTTAACTGGGATAATACGTGGTTTTTATATGCAACGGTCTGAAAAAGGGAAAAATATGATTTTGTTTAGTTTTTATCAAATAACTCCTAAAGTTATTATTTGATAATAGCGTGTGATACATTAATTGATACACAATTAAATTCTGCATCGCTCTGGGAAAGAATATTTTCAAAATGTTGTTTAAATAAAAAGTTACAGATAAATAATCTTTAGAATTGATAAAATTCACAAACTTGAATTTATTTACTAAATAATTACTTATCAATAATTGATAATAAAATTCTTTTCTATATGATAGAAACATAATTTAATGTAGAATCTAATAGTGAAAGAATTATTGCGTTATCTTTATTAGTTTATGAGTTATTGTCAATTAAATACCAAAAATCAGTTTTTTTATATTTTTCAGACCGTTATTCTTCACTTAGCACAAAAGATGCACAAACTTTTTTTAATTTTTAATGTTAAAAATATAATCATATAAAAAATAGGCCATTCTTTCACTAGAATTTACTCGAAATTAGAAAACAAGCAATTTAAACCGTTTGAAAATGAGAAAAAATCAACTTTTCAAAAATTAACATAAAAATAATGAGTCGCAACGCATTCATCATCATAGTGCGATTGTGATGTCCAAATTAGGCATCGGATGGCTAGCATTAGCGCGGCCATTAGCTCTCGAAATGGAACGTCCGTCTAATTATAAATGATGAAATAATTACATTTTTCTGCACACCTAAATTAAGTTGTCGATCATAATTAATACATGGGTAATGATTTTTCCGAAAGGTGTATCCATATACATACACATCTACAACATAACATAGATAGTATGAGAAAATCCATGCGCGCTAACCTTACATTTTCTAAGCGCAAGCGAAGAGAGAAGGTAATTAAAACGTGCGCCTCGAGTGTGAACAACGAGCGTGTGCGCCCGAAAAAAAATTGAAAGTTATCCGATCGGGCGCGCGCGCGATCGCGCTGTCAATAAGTTATTGGTTTGAGTTATAAGCTGGAGGTGCGATCGTAATTTGTAATCCGCACGCACAGTTCGCGGCCGGCGAACAACGTGCGATTAATCTTGTTCCAACACGTCGCATATTAATGTTGCACACAAGTTGCAATCTTTATTATTGTTACAAAACATGAGGGATGGGAATTCTAAGAAGTCAATACCGGTATTTCGGTATACCGGTATTTTTTTATATAAAAATATCAAAGTATAAATTTTAAAAATTCAAAATTTTCTTTATTTTTTAATTTAATTATTTTATAAATACCGGTATTCCGAAAAACCGGTATACCGGTATTTTTTTATAGGAAAATATCAAATTATAAATTTTAAAAATTCAATATTTTCTTTATTTTTTAATTTAATTATTTTATAAAAACCGGTTAACCGGTATTTTTCTAAATTTAAAAAAACCGGTATTTTTAAAATTAATTATTATTTTTATTTATTTATTTCTTACTTACTTTTTCAAAATTGAAATTTTTTTAATATAAAAAATACCGGTATACTGATATAAATACCGGTATTTCACATCTCTACCCACATTTTTGTTTAAATTTTTCTTTTCGCTTGGTTGCGCTTTGACTGCAATTGAAAATTTATCACGTGTGGATTGTATTGTCCCCATTGTCGTCATTCTCAACAAAACACAAACATTGGTCGAATAGAAACAGAAAAAAAGCCTCTAGGTAGAAAACTAAAACGTAACAACCAAACGATCTAGTTCAGCGGTGATGTTCGAGGGTTTTTGGGGTATGTAGAGGTATCTTGAGAGTTGGACCCTCTAAGAGGTAAGAGGGTAAACACCTCATTGTGTCGCATTGTTACCATTATTGTCATTATTGGGTTTTGTTCCCTGTTTGGCGAACCAACTGCATTTTATTTATATTTCCGTGCGTCTGTATCTGTTTAGGCAGATTTATGTCCTGTTAATAGTTAATACCATTGTCGCCTGTCGATTAGACAAGATTAACTCGCGAGAGTCACGATTTGCTATGTGTGTAGTTGTTGTGATATGATTCATCCCCTTTTGGAAAGCGAAATGTATCATAATTTATTGTTTTTGATTCGTCGATTTGAACTATCGAACGTTTGAGTGTTGTTGGGATGCGTGAATGCGCCCATTCATTTGGAAATTAATAGATATTGATGCGTTGGGAGCATCTGCTCATCCTCTTCAACACCCTGTGACAAAAGTATCAATGGTGCGCGATGCATCAAACGGTCAAGCGTCGATTTTCAACGCTCAATCTATTTTCACTTCATGGATTTGGATTTATGTTGCGCGTGCGTTGAGTGCGATTTATGGGATTTTTACGCATGATTTTTAGTTCAAAAAGGGAATATAAGTGAATTTAGGGTGTGTGAAGTGTAACAACCGTAACAAATATTTTGAAAATATTTAGGAAATATTTAGAAAACGTTTTGGAAACATTTCAAATAGGAATAAAATTTATTTTTGTGAAAATTTTGACTTTTTTTTTTGTTAAAATTTCGAGTTTTTTTACAAAAATTTTAATGAAAAAAATGTTTAAATAATTATTTGACTCATTTTTCTATTTATTTATAAAGATTTTGTTAATTTATTACTAATAATTTAGATTTTATTTAATTTTAAAATTTTTCACTCGTAACATTCAATTTTTTTTTGCTAAAATTTTGATTTTTTTGCTAAAATATCCGGTTTTTCGCCAAAAATTTACCAAAAAATTAATTATATAAAATTATTTCACTATTTTTCTATTGATTAATGAAAAAATTATTAATTTATTATAAATAATTTAGTAGATATTTAAATTTAAACTTTTGCACTCTTTATAATGAGACTTTTTAACTTTTAATATTCCACATCAATTTGTAACACTCAAAATTTCTAAAGACAGATCTAATCTTTAACTTGATGAAGATAAAACTTAAATTTCAAGACGAGTTTACGTTTACGTGTAATCTTTACAAAAAACGCACTTCCTATCTATTTCAAAATCAGTGTGACACAAACACAGGAAGCTCGTTTTTTCTCAAACCTCTAGCGTAATGTGACACTCTTTCACCTACGAAATAATTCCGAAATAATTTTGACAATTGAAAAATCACCGCGCACGCACTCGGAAATAGACACATTACTCAGAGATGACCGAATCGTGTGCGGTAGAAAAATCTCAAAATCTAAACAAGATTAGGTAAGCGGCGGCGGTGTGGTGTGGTGGGAAAGAAATCCGTGTGGTGTGGTCTGTGCGTTTGCATATCAATGCGGAGATAATTAATAATCGATGCTAATTGTACGCTTTGACAAACGTATCTAGTGAGTAGGTACCTATTCGCGGCTCGAGCTTGATTAATTGGCGAGGATGCGCTCATTGCT